CAGCCCCTTCTCCAGCCCGGCGTGTGGCACCAGGAGCACGTTGGGACGGAAATTAGGCATCTCTGTCCCTTGTTGGGCCCAGGCAGCCGCTTCTGGAGAGGCCGTGATTTTGTGTTTGTTGTTATGTGCTGTGTGTAATACAGAGGCGCCCCTGCTGCAGGGGGGTGGGGATCACTGGGATGCCCAGGATGATAACCGCAGGAGCCAGGGTTTCCCGTTGGCATCCACGTGGACTTGGCTTCCTAGCCCATAGTTAGGTGAACAGCTGAGTCATGCTCCAAGCCTGACCATCTGAGGCTGGTGTAACGTTTCATGAACATGAAAATTAAATGTGGAGTTTGAGCTGGTATAGAGATTCACACCAGCCCATGTTCCCAGGTGAGTTTTTGATCAGGCACAAGGAACCCTGGAGCTCAATTTGCTGAATGGCTGAGGCACGGCCTGGGTGACCCTCAGCAGGTCCTGTAAACTCTGTGAATTGGCTTCCCCAAATTAAAAATTGAGTTTGGGCTATTGATTTCCGTTGTAAAGTACTCTGGACCTTATTACTTTGAAGTCCATGTTTCAACACACATTAGGATAACTTATGATAATCACCATAAGAATTTTAACTGTAACTACAATCCTTCACATCTTTCATTCTTCAGGAGCATTTGCAGAGAGCATTGTCATAAAAACATCAGGTTGAAACTTGCCTTATCTTGCTATTTTTCCAGGGAGCTATGAAATATTAAGACTATGTCTACAGTGTGAGATCTGTTTAGCATCATTTATTTACCTAAAACACATTCAGAGTTGTCAGAGTGGCATTTTTCCTACTATCCTGTTTTTGCTTGGATGTGTCTAGGTGCTTTATTTATTAACATAAATATATATGACATATATTTTAATGTATTTATTATGTATGTATAAATACACAACAAAATAGGCTCTTACATTGTTCCTAACCACTTGTTTTGAGGATATATTTTCATTATTTCTAGAGACATTCTTAGAATATTGAGAGGCAAGTATAGCTTTGTCTAGAACTGCACATTTTTGAGTTTTTGTAGAGTGAAAATAGTGTTTTATGCCTTGTGTATAGTGTACACACTAATGGTAATATGCTGCTTTTCTGGTAACCAGATTCCTGAAGTGATGGCAAGCTATCTGTATTGTATTGTAGACAGTTTCCATATTTCCATAGAAAGTGGACTGGTTCCTGAAAGTTAGTCTACACCATGGTTCCTTCACTTTTTACAGAATTACCTAGCTGGGTTCTTGCCATAATAATGGATATCTTGGGGCACTTCAGTAGTGTGCTGCAATGTTTAGTAAATTCTAATGCTAGATGTGATGTCCTGTGAGCTTCCACTGTGAAAACATCACTTGCAACTCAGTAAATACTCAGAAGGGTGGGAATGTTGGGAATGCCTCATTAGATTATCAGAAGACTGTAAACTTTTATTCAGAAGATACACAGAATTAGTGATGCCCCAGTGGATAGTTACTACAAATATGAAGCCTTGAAATTATGTCACCTAATGGTGTAGTTTGGAGACCGAAGGACTTAACCAAACTCATTGCATTATTTCCTGAAAAGGTGAATTTACTGCCATGTTTTCTGTTTCTGAGCTTGCTGAACACAACTGATTCAGTGTCAGTCTTTGGTGTAATTTCTGTTCTTATGGGTTTGCATTTGACTGAAGAAATTTCAGTAGGTATGAAGAGTGAGACTGAGATTTTTCTGCAGTGGTATCAGCCAAAGCAGATAAAGGGGCTGTAAGTAAGGACATTTAGTTTATTATTTGTGTAAATGGCCCTAATTAGTTTGAAATGGTCAGGTACCAATTGAAATTTGCAAAGTGGATAGACACAAAGCTATTTGCATTACAGTTGGTATAATAGTTTTCAGTCTGAGTGCTGATGTTTCTGGGAAGCATATGGGAGTTCAGCCCATAACCATTTTTTTGTTGCGTTGTCTCAGGAAAGGTCCAAACCATTCACTTCTAGATGAAAATCCTGTTTGGAGTCTTATTAAAAGTAACAGTCAGGCAATTTGATTAAAAGGTGTCCTAAAAATTTGCAGTAAGTATTTAATAACAGGTTATTATATAAAACTGTTGGATGAATTGGATTTCATTTGGGAGCAGAGATATACTTGGGCATTTGATAATTTCTACTGGTTTTTAGTGTCCTTTGGACATCTGGATTCAGTTTTCTTACACAGTTTATGAAGGAACAAAGTGAAGGGGCATTGAAGTGTTTGCTTTTACATGCAAATAAAACAGAAAAGAAGTGAATGCTCCTCTGTAAGTACTTTAATAATGTGTTTCTTATATGTTTTTGGCCTATATGTGTACATGAAACCATGCTGTTTGAAAAAGTGTCTGATCCTATCCTCCATTTAGCCAGTGGCAGATTGTTCAGCATCTTCTTTTAGATTGTGTATAGAAATATTAGAAGGGTTGTGGGGTTTTTTTCCATATAAATGTGAAGTTTGAAAGAAAGGCCTCCATTGTTCCAGTGCTTCCATATGCCAGATGCACAACAGATGAGGATTATGTATAATAACATGTTATCTTAGTATGGTTTCTAGTGAATCTGTAAGCCAAGAAAAATAGTAGGAAGATGTAGAAAACAGAGGGAGCATGTGGTATTTCAGTGGCAGCATCCTGGGAAAGCCTTTTTCTACAAAAGGGATTCTGCAATTCTTGCAGGCTTGTTCCTGGCCATGTCATGGGTCAATTATGGTTAACTCAGCTGGTCCAGCTTTTCTGTGAAATTGCCAGTGTTTCAATTGGCAAATAGGTATTTCTCAGGAAATCTGATGCTGACTTTTGTACCTTGATGCCCTTCTTGGCTGTGATCTTTCAAAACTTTGCAGTAGGATAACTTGCAGAATGAAGATGGTTGTTGTTTTGGCAGCTGCTGTCATTAATGCAGAATGCATTTGGCACCAAATAGAATGCAGTTGGTTTTGAGATTGTCTTTGCCTACAGTAAAAAATAATTGAATTTTCACAAATTGATGGAAGTTTATAGTCTCTTGTGTTTCTGTGTAAAGAGTACATAGAAATGTTGAGTACCTAGTTTCATAGTTGAATCACATTCTTTTTAGACTGAACTAAGGTTTCAGTCTAAAGCTGAAGAAGAAAAATCTTGGGGATTGTCTAGCTCTGTGTTGGTTCTTTAGCTGTAGATGTATCAGCACATGTAGAATTTCTGGGTTTAGATTTTGAATGCTTTATAATAATATTTTAACACCAAAGACCTTTTGATATCTATATCTTTTGATAAAGGTACCACCAAAAGATGGTAAAGTTGAGCTTAGTTAAAGTCAGAAATCAGGGAGTCTCTTCATATTCACACTCTTGAAAGATTGAGACTGCTAAGGGATGAAAGGGCATTTCTTTCTTCTTCCCACTCTGTAACCCAAGCTTTTTGGGATTTATAAAGTTTGATGTTTAAGTCAAATTTGTCTAAATCTATGATAATTTTTGTGTGTGTGAGTGAGTGAATTTGTTCTTTATAAAGTGCAGAGTTTCTGCAGTGAAAAATAGTGGTTTATTTTTAGAAAATCTATGGCTACATATTCATTTCCTTAGCAACTTTCCATGAAACAAACAGCCTGCTCTTCTTTCTTCCCAACCAAAACAAACTTAAACTGGCTTATTAATTTAGGCAATTTTCCCATGAAAACTGGGTTCCATGTCTCTGCCACAAGCATTTGTAATCTTCCAGGTCCCTGAAAAAAGTCCTCTTGCATGAAACACTAAAGGACATATTCTAAAAAATACCATAAATTTGCAGTGATGAAGTTGGTGATATTTTTCCTCTGCAATTGTTATATTTCAGTTTTGCAGAGTAAAAACTTCTGTCTCTTTTTCTCTGTCATGCATGTCTGTTCGCTTTATTTGATTGGCTCTGTGAGTTGCACAGCACAGTAAACTGGTGTGTGTATTTACACTGGGCAAAGCTATCCCATCAGGAAAGGCAAAGGAGACAAAACTGGCTTTGACATTCAGCACAATGCAAACCAAAAATATTGCTGGTTTGAGTGAGTTTTTACACCCAAACTCAATTTAATGCTTCTCCAAAATATAGCTCTTTGTAGCATGGGATGGTACCAGTTGTGGCATAATGTAAGTTTATAAAGTTTATATGGCTTAACATGATTGAATCCTTTACAAATAGAGCAGTGAAAGGAGTTGCTAGGTATCCTGCAGGAGCCCAGTATCAAGTTTGCTGATGGTTGTGTTCACTGTAGCCATGGACAGTTCAGCCGAATCACTTCAGCCAAGAGCTCACACTCAGAAATTAAGTCTTTGCTCTCTGTTTTAAAAGGAAACAGGACTGACAAAACTTGTGACTAATCTTCCCTTTTCCATCTGTTTCCATATACCTGTCAGAAAAGATAATTCTTCTGGCTCCTATTTTCCAATATACTGAAATCCACCAAACTGCCCTTGCTGTAACACAATGTATTTCATGTGTTCTGTTGACATTGATGACTCTATTGCAAAATACAGTCGTGAATATAAACAGATCTATGTTAATTTTAAGGTCTGCAGAAACACATGACAAAGGAATCAATTCTGAAGAGGAAAAGGACAGATATTGTAATGTCAGAAATTTTATTTCTGGCATTTGAAGGTGACACTCTTGGAGTTTACTGTTTCAAATCAGAAGCTAATGCACACAAGCTGTCTTTCTTTGTTTCGAATGCATCTCCTTCCAATCCTTAAAATTGGAATCCTTAAAATTTTCCTCAAAAATGACAACTCCATACCTGAAAGAGATTGTAAGCATTGTATATTCAATAAAGGAGAGAACAGGGACCCAATTGCTGCCTCTTTAGGCAGTTTAAGTAACAGTCAAAGAGTTTCTACTGGGTCCGAGAGGTTTGAAGCTTCAAGTGTGAAATCAGTACATTACTAATAGGATGATGCAAATTTCACCTGCTTTCATCCAAGAGAAAATATTACAATCTAGTCTGCCTAAAAATAAGTCATAATACCTCCCTCAGTAACTTCCTCACCATATCTGTAGCTTCCATTTGAACCATGTTATCTTGCTCAGAAATGAAAAGTGTCAGTTCAAAAACTGGTGTTGAGGAATCCTCCTGCAAATCATGTATTCCAGCAGCCAGTTAGTTTCACTTAGGAAATGTGTATTATTTTTCTTTAGTCTGAATAAAATGATGCTGTTTCCTGCATTGTCATAATTCTCTTAAATATCTGTGTTTTGAAGATTGGATGTACTTATTTGAGTGGGATAAAAAAAAATCTCTAGAGCTGTGTCTGTTTCTGTATTGAAGTTTTGTTATGTATTTTGGGGAGTTGATTTAGCATCCCACCAAGTCAGCGATTCCTGAGTTGGTTTTGTGCCTTTTGTCAGTGGGGATAGTTAAACACAGTCTTGATTCTGTTTTTCTTATATTCTGCTTTCAGGCTTTTTTTATGATGCATTCCTTATGGTAATTTTCAAGTAGTAAATGTAATTGCTATAGAAAAGCACAATATCACAGTTTGACATAAAGTTATTTAACTTTCAGGAGAAGTTCTTTAAAAATGTTGCATTTTCACATTGTTTGAAATTTAGACAAGCTTTTCTTTGTTAGGTTGGATGTGTGAGAGCTGCTTGTCTGCTCGAGCTCCTTCATGCGTTTCCAGGGCATTTCCACACAAATATGCTTAATCAGCTTTTAGAGGGAGTCTGTTCTCTAACAGGAATTCCCAAGTGAGCTGCAACTTTGAAATGAAATGGGGGAGAAGCTTTGAAAAAGTTACCAGGTCTTTGAATTAGGAAGAGGGGATCTCAGGTGGAGTACTTCAGGAAAAGTTCCTGTTCTTTTTCCACGCTGCTTTACATCTCTGCTTTAGACTGAACATTGTATTGCAAGGGGATTCCATAGGTTACTATTAGCTGTGTGCTCTTTTCCATATCTCCAGGCTTTTGGGCCTGTGAAGTCCTCAGTTGCTAGTTTTTCTTGTAGGTATGCAGAGAGATACTGAATGGATGGCAGTAAAAAAGCAAGTGTCTGAATCATGAGTTCTGAGGGAAGGCACACAGCTTGCCTTCCCCATTGCCCTTTTAAAACTATGTATTAATTTAGACAATAATTTGAGGGTCTCGATTTTGTTAGTTTTATTTTTCTTCTGCAGTACCTGGAAAACACAGTAAGAGTTAGCTTGTTAGGGCAGTGTGTTTAAGGAGTGAGTGAGAAAAGTGGTCTCTTTAACAGTATTGGAAGTTTGTTTCTGTTCCTTAGATGCTGCAGCTTTGTTTTAGGAAGATGGAAGTGTTGGTTCTTGAGCACGTTTTTAAGTTGAGATATTTATCCAGCTTTCTTTTCACGCTAGGTGTCAGTGTTAACTTACCTGTTCTGTAATCTCAGGTGTAGTCAGGCTATTGTCCCTGTGGATACACCTGTATTGAGTTCTCAGCTACAACTTCTGGTCAAAAGGTCAAGACAGTAATGGCAAACAGTGATTTGTATGCTGACCCTTAATGGTCTGTAAGTATTTATCTTGTGAAAAACCTTATCTTTTTGCCCTCGATTGCATCAAGTAAACCTGGAAGGACCGGCCTGGTCCTTGTTAAAACGTCTGCTACAATCTTTTCAATACCCAGATTTCTCTTTCATCTTAGTTTTGGCTAAGACAGCCTTGAAAACCTGAAAGATAGTAGATGGATGGTAACTGCATTATTCAAAATTAAATCCACTGGGATCATCCCAGTTGGGTTTCATCCTCTCAAACTGTAAATAATTAGCTGACTAGCAGTAATTCATGCAGTGTCTCATAAGGTCATTTGTTAATGTGTTACTTGAGCATATTGTGAGATTATTCAAAGGCATGTGGCTGTTTGCCTTGTTTCTTTTGGTTTACAAAAGCTTTTTTAAAGTTGCCTGTGTTTCAGCTGAGGCTTTGTAATGCTGACCATAATGTAAATATCCTGGTGGTTGATACTGATCTTGGGTATCAGGAGGTTGGGTCACTTCTCTGCCTGCAGCTGTGACAGTGACCACAGCCCGTCTTCTTGGATAAAAAGCCTCAGTGAAGGTATTGTGTTTAGTAATAACAAATAGTGTGCCATGATGAGCAATGGAGTAAACATTGCTCTTTTTATCTCTTTAGCTTCTGTAGAACCTATTACTCTCTTACTTTATAAATTAACAGTTGTTTATTTACATTCTTTTTTAGTATATTTTTATTTCAGGGTTTTAGCTGGGAGTTTGTTACACTGTCCTCTCTTCAATAACACCTCTGTCCAAGAGAGGAGAAGCTGCCAAGTTTGGTATTTTGGGACCTTTAAGTCAAAGGAGGCAGCTGTTGAGTTTGAGGCCTAAGGCTTTACTGAAATGTAAGCACAAATGTTTTTCAGACAGCTTAACTTTTTATTGGAAGAGTAGACATATATCAAATATATTGGTGCTGTTTTTTCATAATGAGAAGTAGTACACCTCTAGAACAACACACTTATTTCTTGTAAGTTGTCAGAGGATAAGGCAGTGGCAGTGGGGCTTGGCAGGATTGACTTAGGATTCCTGCAGCCAGGAGCTTGCTGCCACAGAGACCTGCATGGAGGTGGAAATGTAGAGGTGCACCCTGTTTGGAACTTTTTTGTCTACTTTAGCTTCCATTTTTGAATGTATAAAGAAGGGAAGTATTGCCCATATGATTAGAAAAACAGTATATTTTTTGTACAAAGTTTCAAAGACAACACAGCAGAATTTGATTGTGTAAATTGCCTTTTGTATTTTATGCTGTAACACAGCTGAGCAAATACATTTTCCTAAGAGTAGTAAAGAGATGCTAGAGTTTTCAAATTTTTTTTTTAATTTTAGAAAGCTGCACATATGCAGAAGTTGTAGCTGCTGTTGATGTGAACACTCTTGCCAATGATGTTTATAAGCACAACTTTCCCAGCACCTCGTTATGGGCAAAGACTATTGAGGTGAGTAATTAATGTGCTTTTTACTGTAGTCTGGCATTTGTAGGATGTGAGCTGCTTTCACTGGGTTTATTAGTAACAAGAGAAATGGAAATATTTATGTTGCTATGAATAAAGCAGTTTTACAATAGCTTTGATTACTTATGCTGTTTGTTTGTTGAAGTAAGAAGGATTTCATACTGCAGGCTTTTCTAGGAAGTCTTGCCTTCTGCATGAAGAAAGGTTATATAAACGTTAAGGGGAACACTTACCATCAGTAAAAGAATGTCAAAAAACCATATTTTTAGATTAAAAAAAATATTTTCATTTAGTGTGAAAAAATGTAATTAAATTACTTGGGGGCATGCCTCTGTTTTGAAGTTATAGTTGGGCTCAGAGAAATACAACAAAATCTATTGAACTGAACACTCTTGAATCTTTTTTAATGAGCTCAACAGATAAAATGTTTTAGGAATTCTGTCACTTGCCAAATTATTTGGAAAATAATTAAGTAAAATTGGATTAAAGTTGTCTGTTTTAATAGATGGGAGGCAAACTAGGCATGGAGTTTTGCTTGGATTGTGTTAGAAATTACTGTATACTTCTTAATCTTCTTTTATGGTTTTACAACATGACAGCAATAGATACTGTGTCTGTTTTAAGACACCAGCTTAAGTAAGAGTTAAACAGGTGGCTAAAGGTTAAATGCTTATTCAGCACTCAATAATAACTGGCTAAGTGATAGTTTTAATGGAAAAAAAAATTAATCTTTGCCTGTATCATTTTATAGTAGACAAGAGCAGATTATTAGAGTCAGTGACACCTTCTTCAAATATAATGGAAAAAAACCAGCAGCTTTTGTCTAGTTTTCTGAGGGTAGCTACATTACATTTGCTGCATAGGTATCCCTCAGAATATGTAAGGAGTGATTTCTTTGTCCAAGTCATAGTTACTTGATCGTTGTCCTTCTTTCCTCCTGGCCCTTTATGTGTTGATCTTCTAGTGTTGATGAAAACTTAGTTTAGAGGAATTTCTACCTGTGTAATTAATTCCTACCACAGGCCTAATTCTTTCCTTTCTAAGCAGGATTGTCTTTGTAGAGAATTTCAGCCATACAATATCTTTGACTAATTTGTATAGGGGAAAAACAATGAAATAAACTTTATAAGGTGCATTGCCAGTGAGCCCCTAAGAGCTAAACCCCATAGTTTGGATCCATAAAAATTATCATATTTACACTTGAGCTACTTTTCTTCTCAGATGTTTTTACACATTTTGAGTATGTGAACACTGGTTTTGATGTACAAAGACTTCATATCTGAGTAATGATACTTTATTTTCAGGAGAAATAACAGGTGAGTATCTGTGAAAGAACCACTGCACACCTCAAAGAATGAGCAGCTAAAAACCTCAAGATTATGTATAGATGCTAACCTTATCAGTGTTTTGCTTCATATGAGGAGCAGTGAATGCATATTTTCGTTTTATGGTTTGCCAAGGTAGGAAAGATTTTGAAATTACTAGGTCAAATGAGACATCAGGTAGGTTTTTGCTAAGTGAAACATACTGGAAGTAAGAAGGCTAGTTTGATCTGAAAGATAACTTGGGAATTTCATACAATTCACAACACTCAACATTCTTCTATTTTTTTCTGTTTTCAGGGCATAACACTGAAAGAATTTGACAGATTATCTTTTGATATGATTTTGATGAGTCCTCCCTGTCAGCCTTTTACAAGGTAGGTACAGCACACTTGGGAAAAAATGCAGTTATTGCTGTATATTGCACTTTTATACTGTATATGGTCAAAGGAGAAATGTTATCAAGACATAGTGACACTGTGTGTGTGATCTGTGATCTTTCTCATCCTAAGCAAATGTTTTGTAGCTCTGTTCACCATGGTGCTTACTGAAGTGAAAGAAATGCAGCAATTTGCATCTTAATTGTTGATCACATTTCTTGCATATGTATATATTAATTCAGTTTAAGTTAAGTAAGCTTCTTACAGCAGCAATTTTGTGAACTGTATTATTCCTCTGCTAATGAAATTTAGTGTTTGGGAGTCCTGCCTTTCCTTTTAAATTTCAATCTAATATTTTCCTGGGCCAAGCCCAGAAAGAGGATTGGAATTTCTAAGTTCTGCCTGAGACTTAAGAGTATAATCTGATTTTATTTGTGCTTTGAAAATTGCATATGCACACAAACAGTTTATTCTGAAGAATATTTCTGTTTTAGCCAAGACCAGAAGGATAATGGCTTTGAAATGATTTTGTGGATGATAAAGAGAAATATCTTGCTGATTAGGGACTGAATTTACTGAGATGTTATTTGTCAAAATTATTTGTAGTTCATATCATTTGACAGCAGTGACCAGTGGGATAAGATTCTAGTAACTGTACTCATGCAAAATAGTAGCTTCATGAAAAATGTCTGTTGATGGTGATAATAATGATTGTATAAGAAAGTATATCTTACTGAATGTTCTAAGACTGAAAAGAGATCCCTGTAAAGTGGTGCTGATCTGTACAAATGAATTAGTGCAAACCTATGATGTATATAGGAAACATTTCAGATTTTTTTTCTTTATAATATGATGAAAAGAAAAATCTGTGTATGACTGATTAATTTAGATACATGTTAAAGCTCTTCTACAAAGCTTTGATTCTTTTTTTATGAGCTAATACAAGTATAAGCTAGGGAAACACAGGCCTGGAATCATTATCATTTTTGTAACCTACATAATCTTTCCAGTTTAGTGTTATAAAATTGCTTCCAAAGTTATTCATGTGGGGCTCCATCCTGCTAAATGGTGAACAATGAGGCTTTAATTCATAGAAATAATTTAATATATTCAGTGCAAAGTAGCAGGGTATTCCCAGAAACCCAGTGGGGGTTTTTTGTTTGTTCAGAGCCAAGTATGTTCAAAGGCTTTGCTGGACAAGACCAGAATGCTAAAGCCTTTGCAGACTGAGGAGTGGATTTCATTACTGAATGCTTAATTTTAACTTTGCTGTGAGCTGATGGATTCCAGCAGCAGACTTTCATTCCTTAGAGCATCTCTCAGGACACTGCCTCTGTGAGCAGGTCCTCCTGTCTGTATGTGATGCCTTTGCAGAATTCTCTTTCAAAACTCAAAGCAAAGTGCCAGCATTCTGTAGAAAAATGTAACTCAAATGTCAGTGAGTAATACACTGGTGTTTCTTTATTATTTCTTAGAATTGGCCTGCAAGGTGATGTGTCTGATCCACGGACCAAGAGCTTTCTCTATATCCTTGATATTCTCCCAAGGTATAAATGAACTTCTACCTCTCCTTTTGTAAATAGGCTTTGTTGTAACTAGGTCTTCTCTATTTCAGTGAGACAAGATATCTGTAATGTTTTAGAGGGATACTGTTGGTGTTGTGTTGTGTTCTGTGTTTCTTTTCACATGATCATATGTAACTTCCATATTCTTGTATTTACTAATGCTGTAATCACTTCATTGTTGCTGTATATGCTTTCATTGTCTGGTTTCCTTTTCATTGCATGTCTGTTTAGACTGTGCCTACACAATAAATGAAAAGAAAGAGTTCTTTTCAGTTCAACATCAAATTTGCATTGATTTCACATAGAAACAGGAGTAGGTAATATAGTAGTTTGTCTATTGGTCTCATGACAACATGAAAGGTTTTTAAAATATTGGGTTACAAAAGCTTAAATTCAACATATAGTCATCTTTTGAAGAGGTACCATTTGAAAATTGGTTTAAGTGTGCTATTGACTGTACAATGCAATGCATCTTTCAACCATTTCTTTCTTAAAGTCTCTGTTCTTTTTGGTGCTGCTTCTAGATATCTTAGGGCAGATTGTGTATTTTTGGTTTGTAGTACAATCTCTTGTTTGGAGTAGTAATACTAAAGAATTTGAATAGCACTGCATTGTCTGGACAGTGTCCTTGACTTCATCTGTCATTTTTTGCCTGGTCAGACCTCAGTTCCTAATAAAACAGCCATAATTATTTGTTTTATTGGCAGTCTTGCTTCACCCGGAGACTAGGACAGCTGTTACCAATATATTCCTCCATTAGTTCATCTTGCTGTCAGGGTTGGAGAAGGACAGATGAATAGATGAATGTTTGGTTTCTCTTTTACTCTTTTTTTTTCTTTCTTTTTTTTTTTTTTTTTTTTTTTTTTTTTTTTTTTTTTTTTTTTTTTTTTTTTTTTTTTTTTTTTTTTATGAATGCTTTCAACACAGAAGGAAGCCAGTACCAAAAAGCCTTTCTTTCAAACTTGTGTTAGCACTGGGAGAAAAATCCTTGCTCTGGAAACTTTATGTAGCCAACAACATTGAATGGAACTGTGTCTTTGCCCTTGTCATGAGCAGAGAGAGAGCAATGACACAGAAGGGCTGAGTGGCTTGGCAGGGCCATACATAAATCTGTGGCAGGCAACACAACAAAACACAGATTCTGTAGCCCAGTAAGTTAGACAATTCCTAGGTAAAAAAGAATGGGTATTACTACTCCCCTGCTTCTGTCAGAGACACAAAATTAGGGAGAGAATGTGGGTTATTTAGAAGTTGCAAAGGATGTCTTTTGTGGAACAAGAAATGTAACACAGGTTTAAACTGACCTGTTAAAATGAAAATGAAACCAGACAGGTACTTGAGTAAGTTAATAATTTGTCAGAATAATAGTATCTTCCATATCCTTAAGGGCATCATGACCTGGGGATTCCTTTCCATTAAACTGAAATATGGTTAAGAGGCTGGCTGCTTTTGGACATTATAGTGCATTAATATGGAAGTACTGCTTCCCAATTGGTGTGGACATAGCTGGATAAACAGCAGAAGCTTTTCCTTCTCAAAACCAAAGCTTTAGACACTCCAGGGCCTGTATTTTTATCATGACTATGCAAAGGACCTGGGCTTGGCTGTCTGACTTTTATCTCAACACCCCAGGAGACACTGCCAATGTCCCTTATCTCCCTGGGGAGGGTTCTTGAAACAGCACCCACTGTAAGTAGTCACTAGGAGGTTCAACATGATGGCTTCTGTAGAGTTTCTCAATTCCAGTGGATTTGTGTTTTACTAAGATAGCGCTTATATGTTTTTTGAATATGATACATTTGTGAGACACTGAGTATGGAGTACTTCAGCCTAAAAAAGGAAATTCTTAATGTAGAAATTATCCCTTTACATTCTAAATTGCTATGGTATGCATGCAGTTTATGAAAAGTGTAAAATAATTTCTCATACCTTGGATGTACTTATCTTTGTTCAGTCTTTTATAATGAAATATTGCTGAAATGAGACTCAGAGGTAGCTTGGGATGACAGATATTAGAGATAATGGAAAGGACAATTTCAAGATCTGGAAAGACATGGGGAATCCTTGGAGCACTCAGCCAGCAAAGTGCAACCCAAATGGTCCAGATATTATCTGTTTATTGTGTCCAAGCCATAACCTGGCAAAATCCAATGCTAAAACATCAAAGTGCTGCTTTTACAGAAACATTTTTAATGTTTATACCTATCAAATGCTTAACACTTCCTTTTTGTACAGTAATTGCTTGCCTTGTGATCTGTCCATCCCCTATGAGTGCTTGGGTTTCAGGCTGTGCTCTGGATTCATTGATGTAAAAGAAGTTTCAAAGTAGTCAATGATGAAGAGTGTGGGTAGGCATATCAGCAGATATATTCTCCATTCCTCTGCAAGGAATTCGGCTGATGCTGCTTTTCTCAGCTTAGTATTAGTTTTTCACTATTATCTTTAGTATTTTTAAGTTTGGCATAGTTTCTTGTGAGATGCATTGGTTCTTTTAATTCATATGATATTTTTAATTGGTGGTAACTAAAAATGTGCTGAAACAAATTCTGCTGTGATTTGTTCCAGTGGAAGTCCAAAGTCACTAACTTCAATGAGCAGGAAGCTGCTGTCTGGGGACATTAATATTCTCCTTCTGTATGTTCTGAGATCCCAGTGTGTGACAGACATTGTGTGTCTACATTAGCCCTATTAGAGAATTAATCAGTGCTACAGAATGTTCCCAGAGACTTGAATCTGAATCATCTATGCTTCTAAATTGCTGAAAGAGTCCCTGGCACAGTTTGGGCATGATCATTTCTCCAGAGATTTAATATGCTGTTTTTGGAATGTGCCTATTTCCAGACCTTTGCTCTGATCCTGCTAAAGCTGAGACACCTCCTTTAACCCATCAAAATAAAAAAGTCAAGTTTAGAAAAATGAGAATATCTGCAGTTTGAACTCTAAATATATTGTGTTTCTTCAATCAGTTAAATGAATACTGGTTCTGATGTGTTATCATTAAGTTTTATGTCACATTTTGACATTGATTTCAGGTACAAGCAATTGAAAACCAGAGTTTTATGGCTAAGTAGCAATTGGTTTTCCCCCAACAGTTATATTTCCTATTATACGCTGAATCTGTTTAATAAAATTACTGTGCTTTAGGAAATGAAGAGTGATAAACATTTTCAAAAGTACATGCATGGAGTACAACAGGGTACAGCTGTTCATCCAAACACAGGTGGGGTTTGTGGTTTTTACCAGCAGTCTACATTTTTAATTCAGTTGGTTTTTTAAGGATGCTAAACTTTAACAGCTAGCATGATGTGGAAATACTTTGATCTTTCTGCTAGCTAACGAGATCTGTGGATGAATATAATGTACTTTATGTCTTGTTACACTGATTTGCTTTTTTTTATTTTCTTGTAGGCTTCAGAAGCTTCCAAAATACCTACTTTTAGAAAATGTTAAAGGATTTGAATCCTCTTCTGCAAGGTAAACTGTAGTTAATATATGCAGATTTTAGTTTGCAAAAAGGATATATTCTTTAGAAGGAGAAGGGATTTATTCTTTAGAAGGAGTTTTCTTTTCCTAGAATTGGAGTTAGCAAAATAACTTGAGATGGGACAGGAATTAGAGTCTTAGGTTGTGAGAAGAACTTACTAGATAACTGGTTATGTCTCTAAGTGAATAAAATACAACAGTATTTTATTTTTAATTTTATTTGATGAGTATTTGATTTGATTTTGTTTGATGATCATGTTTGCTTTAGAAAAGATCAGAATTAGCTTTCAAAGAAAAATAATAATATGTGTTCCATTCAGAGGTTTCAGGGGTTTATTCATGACAGGATCCCATGGTATCTTGTGTTACGGTCACAGAATAGTCCACAGGGGCTTCTTGAATGCCTTTGTTGAGAGTAGATTATCCCTGGTTCAGGGCTGCCATCAAATGGTCCAGAGATGCAGTAAGAAGGTTGTATTTGGTTGTGGTCTGAAATGTGGAAGAGGAAAGGTGTCACTGCAGTTACCTAATGACAGCAGGAGCACTCTCCTCCCCTGTGACCAAAGCAAGAAAGAGAGAGTTGCCATCTTATTCTCAGCTCCCACTGGCATAGAGTGGGATCTTTCTGTGCGCTCCTTAAGGCCCCAGCTGCCACCCTGTCTATTGTGCTCTTAGTCAATATGGCAGGCAGCTGGGAGGCATGCTCAGCTGGTTCAGTGTTCGTGGTCTTCTCTTGTAGCCCCTGGGATTCCCTAGGCTGTGCCTTGCTGGTCAAGGCTTGGGACAAGCTGTATTCAGAAAACACCCCAGTTAGGACACTTGTTTTCTGTTATGCCACCTGGGATGCAGTCTCACATGCAATGCTGGGTACAGGTCACAACCCCTGCCTATTGTATAGTTCCAGCCTAGTGCAGTCTGCATGGAATACAGAAGAAAAGTCTTTTAAGATTATTTCCCTTACAGTCTTTTTTCATTTTTTAAAGCACAGTCCCACCTCACTTTTATAATCAAAGCCACTGATTTTTCTCATCCCTCAATTTAGTCTTTTTGTTGGGCTTAGCCAGTGCTGTGTATGTGAGTAGAAGGAACTAGTGAGCTATTTGTGGTTTTAATCTCCTGTTTTATGATTCCCAATAAAGAGAGTATCTTGCCCTCTGATTAGTTTCCCTGTTGACACACCACAATTACTTTCCTAGAGATGGGATGTTTTTTGAAGAGGCATTTGCACTGTAGTAAGAGTGAGGTGCCTTTGAATGCATAATAGTCTCTAACACTGAACTTCTTATGTTGCCTCTCAAATTCAGTAATGGATGACAAATCAATAATTTGCTGTCCAATTATTTCAATGAATGCTTTCATAAATATGATGTTGAATTTAATCTGTGTTTATTTAGGATTAACAAAGGGGCTGAAGACTATGTGAAAGGAGTAATTTCTTTTTGATTCCTTTCAGAAATGAACTTTTGCAAACACTAACAACATGTGGATTTAAATATCAGGAATTTCTCTTGTCTCCAACATGTGTGAGTACTAAAATTGCTCTCATATTGTTTAATAGTTCAAAGTGCACTGAGTCCAAGAACATTTGAAAATTCTTTTCTGTATTAGAAAAGAGAGTCATGCCTGAAGCTGAAGATACACTTCAATGAGAAAAACAACTGACGTGACTTCTGATTTCTCATACTGGCATAATTGTATTGCTGTTTGTGTTCAAATCCTAGTCCATATTGCTTTGCTGCTGTTTGATATTTTTAAGAAGGCATGAATTTCCACTGTAACCAGGAAGGTGGTTTTCCCTCTAGGAGCCCCATTGCTTCAGAAGTGCTGTGCCTCTGGATTTCCCAGCACAGAAAATGTGACTGTTTCTTGTGGGAGGAGGAGCTTTGTTTCTGTGTTACCCTGGCAACTGAAAAAAAGTTTGAGAGAGATTTCAGATTGTGCAACACTAACTGGAATCAGTGAAGTACCATAAATATTTGAGAAAAGCTACTAGAATGTAGCTTGAAAACCAGTTGTTTGATATATTTAGTTGTTAGGTGTCTTATAATTCCTTGTTTAAAAAGGCAAAGAAAGACTTTTTTGCTTTGAAGAGAAAACAGACAGTACCTGTCCCAAGAAATCATGAGGCATGTAAACTTTTCTTCTTGCATCACATAAAATTTTGTTTACATTCATATTCATTTACAGAGAAGGTCAAAACTATGAGATGCAGAGAATAATTGCTCACTTGGATCTTTGGAAGTACTAGGTATGGAAGTTACAAGTGTGTAGGTATTATGAACCTAGAGAATACCCTGGAAAAAAGGAGGCTTCAGGGTGACCTAATTGCAGCCTTGTAGTACCTGATGGGAGACTACAAGACAGACAGGGAGGGACTGTTTACAAGAGTCTGCAGTGACAGGACAACGGGGAATGGATTCAAACATATGGAGTAGTATCAGATTAGAATCAGGAGGAGATTCTGTGTGATGAGGATGGTGAGCACTGAGGGTTGTGCAGAGAAGCTGTGGATGCCTCATCCCTGAAAGTGTTCAAGGCCAGGTTGGATGGGGCTCTGAGCAGCCTGGTCTAGTGGAAGGTGTCCTTGCCCACAGCAGGGGGCTTGGAGCTAGATGACCTCCAAGGTTCCTTCTAGCACAAACCATTGTATGAATCTCTGATTCCGTGAATACTGATATCTCTGAAGTCATAAAATTTATTAGTGTGTCATAGTTCTGTTACTGCATGTAATGGCAGATAACTTATATGATGCTATAGACAACTTTTTCTCTACTATCACATGGACTAAAGACTTCTGAATTTTGATTTCAGCTTGGCATTCCCAATTCTAGGCTGCGGTATTTTCTAATTGCAAAGCTGCACCAAGAACCATTTTCCTTTCAAGCTCCTGGTCAAGTGAGTCTATCCATATTACTTGAATTTTCTTCATTTTATGAAGACTGAGGGATAAATTTTCAGTTTAGTGGTGTATGTTGATAAATGGAGAAGAATGAGTGATTCCAACAGAAAAGTTAAATTCTATCTTCTTTTTTCAGCCTGGATATTGACCTTTGTAAGGACAGATGTGCATGTCTGTGGCTTAGATGGCTTTAAACAGTTGGGAGATGTGTTTTCTAGCCTGATAGTGGACTGGATAACATGTCATACTGCTACATTTTTTACACACTTGGAAAGGACCTTTTGCAAAGGCAATTATTTGAGGCTGTTCTGACATCATTGCCAATAGGTCAACTAATCTTGATGCTACTGCTTTTGAAATCTTCATGGAAATAATATTTAAATGTTATTGTGAGCATCTCAGAAGGAATTCTCACTCTCTGTATGGTTGTTTATTCTTACTCTCTGTCAAGTTGTTTATCAAATACAGTTCTTTAATTTTATTTTTGTCATAATTTCCTCTTAGATATTGACAAGATTCCCAGATCAGGATCCAGAAGATTTACTCAAGGAAAAAGTTGCTGACAAAGTGGATGAAGCCAGTTCTTTGTCCTCTGAGGAGAAGAATCTGGATCCAAACATTGGTCCAGATTGCAGCAGCAAGAAGAGTTTACCAAAAGGGGCCTTTCTGTTTAAGCTTGAAACAGTAGAAGAGATGGAAAGGAAACATAATCAGGATAATGATCCCTCTATTCAAATGCTAAAAGACTTTTTGGAAGAGGAAAACGAAGATATGAGTCAATATTTCTTACCACCAAAGTCCTTACTGCGCTATGGTCTCTTGTTAGACATTGTTAAACCCACCTGCCGGAGATCCACGTGCTTTACCAAAGGGTAAGGTGCCAAGAAAATGTCTTGTTAAATCATGTCCTGAAATTTTAAGTGTACTTTCTTGCTTGTGTCCTGTAAAATCACAGAGAGGTGTTTCATCCAAAAATCCTAGGCCTTTGAAAAAAATCTCCTTATATAGTGTGCTTGCTGGTCCAGTGAAATGACTGCGTGAGAATCTGTCTGGCAGAACATCATGTGCCCACTGCAAAAAGGCATTCACAAAAGACAGTTGCCATTTGTTGTTGACCTTCACAGAAGCTTAATTACCCCTGCGGAAATATGGTTCCAGTAGACTGGTATAGTGCTGATTCATTAATGAATTTCTTTATAGTGCTCAATGAAGTCACAAAGTGTCATGCATGACAGATCCATTCCTCATTAAATCTGTCTCCACTGTACATTTTATTGATTTCTTGGATTTTTCAGCTGTGTAGATCAGAATAGCTGGAGATTGTCATGAAACCAGTTAGGTTGCTGCGTTACAAATCATATTTGATGGAGCAGAACATCGGTGCTTTTCTGTCTAGTAGTTTTCTGATTTGTACTTTGCAATTTTAAGTTTGACTTCTAGAAGTTGGTGAGTGTTCTGAAACTCTGTGGACAGCTGGTCAGGAGCTTTTCCACTGAATGCATTTGTATTGAAACATTCCAATTGGAGCCTGAAAATTTATGGGAATTTTTAATATTGATAAATTTTTCTAATTGGATTGGTTTTTTAAGTTTGCTGAGTGTTTCAATAAAATGTCTTGGATGGTGAGTTAAAGCTTATTGGAACTTTTTTTTTAATTAGGAGAAATTAGACTGTCAGATTGACAGAATTCCTGCAAATTATTTTTTTTTATTTTAAAGGTTTAGACAACAAAGAAGAAGAAAAAGAATTTCAAAAGTTTGAAATTTGTGCAATGGGAAAGGTCTTCCCTCAGCTCACATATGTATGTGCCTTTTCTGCCCTCACTCTTTTGCGTTGAGGGAGGGTCAGCATCTTGTGAAATATCTTTCTTATCTAGAGTAGTCAAAAAACCCTTAGCCAGAATGGTATCTGATGTGTTTTCTGGGTGCCTTAAGTGTCATTGAAGGTAATTGGCCACTTGTGGTTTCTCTAGAATACATCATGGTAGTTTGTGGTTGTGTTTATCAAAATCACACTGAAGGAGGCTCCTGAGTAGTTAAAATCAAGTTAAAATCAAGTACATAGTGATGAGAAATCTGACACCAGGGAAGGTGAGTCTTAGCCCTCTGCTGATATGGAGGTAGTTGTGGTGGTAGTTCTGTCTGATTTACCATCTTTGTTTTGTTTTTCAAGAGCCTTTGGGAAGGAAGGTTGCCAACATATTTCTCAATGTAATCATCTCATTTAGCTCTGCATTAAGAGAAGGTTTATAATTATATCTCATTAAAGTCCCTTTCTGAGGCCAGAAATAAGTCCCTGCTGTATCTGTTCCAGAAGTTCTGTTTTTATATTTCTCTGAAGCATGAGATCTAGGAAAAAGACCCCTGAATGGGGTGGAACAGCACGCTGGGTAGTACAGAGAATCCCTCTGCTGCCATGCCTGTCTGCTGTCTTTCTTGTAAGTTGCACTGTCCATCAGTTTTGAGAGTGGGAGAAAAATTTCCCTCTTTTCTCTTTGGTTTTCAGGTATTTCTAGCAAGGTTCATGTGATGGAAATAATCTGGGTATGCCTTCTCTAGTTCCTTCTATTTCGGGTACCTCAAATGCAGATAGTTCATCGGTGATTTTTGCTATACCAGTATGTCTTTTGAAAAGCTTTGGTGGAGTATACAGCAAAATGTAATGAACTGTAATGCTTGAGAGATCAAGCAGGTAATTCTGTGTGCCCTTCTGACACTGACTTCCTGGGCACTTAGTGAATGATTGCTGAGGTCTGTGGGACTACCAACGCCATGGTTTCTCTTTGGAGTGTGTTTGTGGTGGCTGAAGTTGAGTATTTTAAAGGACAGAGGAAATGAAAATCATATCTGACTTCTCTAGATATAGTCGTTCTGGATATACTTTAAATTTTTGCTATGCTATTGACAAGAGAAGTGATACCTTTCAAAATTGTGCAAATATCAATCACAGAAGAGTTTTCATGCTTTGTGGAAATTACTTTTTGTCAGTCATAATATATGACACCGTATACCCAGAAAAAAATACATGTATGAAATGAAAAGAGCTTTTTTTTTTAAAGCTTACAGAAATAAAAGAGGCAGAGAATCTTGAATCAGATGAAAATTAAAGACTTCAATTTCTTAAGCCAACTTCTTTCATTGTGACTTGTAATGAAACTTGTAATGAATCTTGTCAGAAAATCAATACATCATTTTTTCACTGTGATAAAATTTAATTATGTTCCAGGTCTAAGGTAGGAATGTTAACTTTCCTGTAGTCAGCACTTTCAATAATAATAAATAACAGTCCAGCTAATATTACATTAGCCATATGCCCACATTTGTATTAAAAAGCCAACAAGCACACACACACACACACACACACGCACACACACACAGCCTTCTGTGCACACAGACACCAAATGGATTTTTTTTGGGGAGGAGGAATTCTGTACTCTAGTGCCAGTTATTTAGACAGGAATATTTATTTTTCCCAATAGACCACTTCAATACCACTCTGAATTTTACCCCATTTATTGATTTTGGCTCAGTTATATTAAACTGAAATATTACCAGATGCTATAGAAGAGGAAGAGGATGAGGATTCCTCAGAGCTGTGTGTGTTACATCGTTAAACCTTGTGTTAGGGAATTTGCAGATTTAAAGATTAATTAATTGGTTTAAAAAGATTAAGCCAATTAAAGATGATGTATTTACAAAACAGATTCCACTTGTATTTAATGTGTAACAGTGTTTAGGTGTTCTGATCCTGAGGAAGATTTGTAACCACTTTGTTTTAAAACAAGTGCTGCTCTGGCTGTTATTGGCAGAACTAATTGTAGCTTTTTCAGCTGAGGATGAAATACTCAAGATTGAGCCATTCTGGGTCATTGTGTCTGTGCTGAAGGGAGAGTGTTCTTTTATTCACTGTGGAATTAGAGAGGCTTGAAACACAACTTGTGCCATGCTTTAGGAATGGGTCCCAAGTGGAACAAAAGACCTTTATTGTTGTTACCAATTGTCTTTACAGTTGTACAGATAAAACTAGAGAAGAGTGTCTGTTAATAATTGATGCAGACCACATCCCTCTAATGCAGGGGATCTTCTGAAGTTCTTCTGCAGGGCAAAGAACTTGATTTGTCTTGAATCACTCTTTCTGTTCAGAATGTTCAAACTGCCATAGTTAGACCAACAGAGCATGTTTCTGAAAGCCCGTAATTATATTTAAATGATAGCCTTGAAGAGACAGCAGAGTAAACATGTTGTTATGCAATCAGCCACAAAGCATGCAGAATAGCTATCAGTGGTTTCAGAATGCAACTTTACTTACTGTTTACTTGGATTTAAATCAGTCTGTCTATCTTTCTTTTTTTCTTTCTATCTTTCTCTCTCTGTCTCTCTGTCTCTCTGTCTCTCTGTCTCTCTGTCTCTCTCTCTTTCTCTCTTTCTCTCTCTGTCTCTCTCTCTGTCTCTCTCTCTTTCTCTCTCTCTCTCTCTCCCTCTTTCTCTCTTTCTCTCTCTGTCTCTCTTTCTTTCTCTCTTTCTCTCTCTCTTTCTCTCTCTCTCTTTTTCTCTCTCTCTCTCCCTCCCTCCCTTTCTCTCTCTCTCTTTCTTTCGCTCTCTCTCACTCTGCTCTGCAGAGATGCCTGGCCATCACCCTTCCTTCAGTGGAAAATCCACAAGCAACCAGAAGTTAAACCTGACTGAACCACTTTGTTTCTAATGCTTTCACATGAAAGCTGGAGGCTCACACTAGCGGTCCTCCTTTTAATAAGGAGAGCTAATTTGAACCTCTGGGATCATTTGACCTATAACACATTTTGCCCTAATGTAAAATTGGTTTAGGTAATGTAGATTTTTTTTTTGGTGGTTCTTTGCTTGAATTCCTTGGCTTTGTGTAGTTGCCATGTATAAGACACTAATGTTGATAAACCCTTGAGCACTGAGGGCAGACTCATCCCCAGAGAGCACATTCAGAGGGTTCTGCACTCCAGGGGTTAGCAGAGTTTATAAGAAGGTTTTCTGCTTTATCTGTCCATGAGCCTGTTTGTTCATTAAGGGAAAGAAACCTAAGTAAACTCCCTGCACCTTTGCAATTGTGAATAACACGAAATAGAGTGAAAATAATAATTTAAGATTGTTTTGTTGTTGTTAGGTATGGACACTATGTAGAAGGGACTGGCTCTGTTCTGCAGACAGCAGTAGATGTACAGGTAAGTGTGTAGTCTGACATATTAGAATGACTTGTATTAAAACTTGAGACTTGTTTCAAAGCTTGGGTTTTTTCTGTCTTCTCCTTTGTTATTCTGAATATTATAAGAAAAAAATCATTTTTCAAAAAATCAAGAAAAAATGTACATTTTATGGCAACTGAGTTTTCAGTTTGTGTTCCTAGACAGGAGTTTGTTTATACCAAAATTATATCACTGTCTCTCTGCAAGGAGAATATGAGTTGCTATTATTTTTATCTGTCATGTCATACAGAATTTTCACAGAGGTATGTGAAAACCTTAAAAATTACTAGTTCTATGGAGAACCTGCAGTACAGTGTTATGAATCAAGGGCTGGTTTTTGTATGCATATAATTCAGTAAATATTGTCAGATGTTTAACATTTTTTAATTTCAAAATTATTTATCTAAGAAGAGTATTTTGAAAAGTTCTACTATTGTTAGAATAGTAGAATAGGTTCATGACTAGTAGTATTTGGGCCTTGGGGAAGGTAATAAATGTACTGGTTAATCAGCATTCAAAGATACTTTTCACAAAGCCTGTGTTGTACACAAGCCCTTCCTCCTGCACTTCTGTGCTGTTCACTAATATTATAGGGCATTTCTAAGCATAAGAGGAATGCAGCTCTGGAATTCAGGATAATCTCAAAGTGAGAGTATTCAAACAGCTGCATCCACGCAGCTTGATTTGTATGAATGGTCTCTTATTGAGTTATACTGAGTCACTGTCCTTTGTCATTAACAAATGTTTGCTCTTTGATTGCCCCATTAAGTATTGGTATAGCTTGGAACTGGAGGAAGAAATTATGAATATCCTCATGGCAACATTGATTTCTTTCTTGCAAGTCCATGTGTTGAGATGTTGGCTGCAAAACCAGAATGCAAATGACAATTTCAAGCAAAACATGCTTTGTCTTTGTCCCTTTAATAATTAAGGAAATATTCTACTAAGATGTGACTGTAAATTTTATATATTTGGCCTGCATCAGTCACATTTCTTGGTTTTATATTTTTCGTAGCTTGAATCAGTGTTTAAACACATTGATGAGTTACCAGAAGAAGAGAAGCTTATGAAATTGTCATCATTAAAACTGAGGTACTTTACCCCAAGAGAAATAGCAAATCTTCATGGATTCCCTTTGGAATTTGGTATGTGCTACAAAATACACGCTTCTACATTATTCTTCAGAAATGTCAATGCATTTTTTTTTTTTTTTACTGGGACTAATCCTTTTTATTTTGAATTTTTTTTTAGACCACGCTGTTCTTATGATTAATTGATTCTTGTTGTTTTGTGAATTTGAATTTTTCTAAATTTCCACTAGTTTTTTTCATGTGTTGTAAGAGCCAGCTTCTGTGATGAGATTTATCTTCATAAGCTAATAAGCTTTTGGCATGCAAAATACTCTGTTAGTGAAGTGCAATGAAGGAATACCTATGTTTAAAGTTGAAACTATTTATTCAGCAGCCAGTGTTACTCACAACTGTGTAAATCAACATTTCCTGCTAGCTTAGGAAGTCTGTTTGTGGTTCTCAGTGTTTGAGCTTCTTGCTTTCTCCCTTCCACACATTTACAGCTGCTGACAGGGAATTTCAGATGGTACAGATAGTTCTTTCTTGAGGATTAACCAATCTATGAAGCCATCTCTGTCTTCTAGAAAGGGCAGCCCTTGGTGAGGTACATCATTTTTTAAGTGGCTGTTTTTTTGAAGGAGGATTCAAGGAGCAAGACTCAGCAGTATCAGTACACTGGATACACATCAACAAGAATTAAACCTGAAGTAAATTCATCAGAATTCTCCTTGTAAAAAAGGGCAAGCATGAAAGTGTACCTTTTAATATCTGCTAAGAAACTATCTTGCTGACATCACATCAGATCAATTTATTGTCACTCAGCAACAAAAGCATCCATGAAATTATGGAAGGGTTTGTGTTTGAAGAGACCTTAAAGATCATCTATTTCCAGCTCCCTTCCACTAGACTAGGTTGCTCAAAGAATAAAGACAGCACTGACCTTGAGTAATTTGTTATATTTTGCTTTGACTCCCTCAGTGACTCTGAGAAATGTGACTTGTTTCTATGTATTTCTTTCTTTCACAATTTTAGTTTGTTTTTTCATTTATTACTTGTTATATTCAAAATTTCTACATTTGGAGAACATGATCAAGGTTGCTCAGTGAAACTAGAGTTGCCAGCACTATGCTTACATGTTTATGAGTATTTGCAAGTGTGTGCTGTGTTGTTACTTACCAACATGCCATGTTTCTTCGTAGCCTCTCTTCTTTAATGGATCTGTTCTATTTGCCTTTTAGCACAGCTCTGTTTCATATTTATGTAGGCTGATGTCAAGATACTTGAACTTAACAGAGCTGGATTGGGCTTGTATAGGCTTATCATGCTGCTCAATGTCTCTTTGAGCATAAAATTGCCCATTTTCTCTTTTTTAAAATGCAGCTGGAGTTTTTCCACTGTTAAATCAGTCTCTGTGACATTACTGAGATGTGCAGTAGGGTTAATGTAGCTTATATTTTACAAAGGGAGAACTGAGACAATGGAGAGATTTATATTTGGAAGACTCCATTACTTTTGGGTGAGCAGTTCACAAAACCTGACTTTTATAATTTCATAGTGCTTGGGGTGATACCTTGCTTTCTGTTCAGAGTTCACCTGCAGGCACCTGTGAGGTTCAGTATTTTTGCAAACCAGAACTGAACTCTGAAGACAAGTCAGGCTTCTGAATTTGAGTATCATCCAGATCATCACCATATACATTGTGTTCACTTAGCAGACCTGTCTTTTGTCATCTGGGATTCTGCCTCTCAGAGGAGAGTACCCTTTTGCCATAATTATGGCAGTTACTGTTATAACTGTTTTACAGTTCTTGCAGTTCCCTTCCCTCTCTATACTGCTTTTCCAACTTTGATGACACATAAACCAAGCCGCTCTTGCATTCAGTGGTTTCCTCTGGCATATACTCCTGAGTCATAGGCAGAACATGCATTTTCCCCTGCACTGAGTCACAAGTCTGACATTTCTTCTTCCCCACTTTTTGCTTTAAAAAGTGTTACTTGACTCTAGGCTGATACAAATCTTTAATGAGTTTCAGTACTGTAATCTCAGTTTCCTTTGAGAATTTTCAAGCTCTGGATTTTTTTTGAAAGTGGACATATTTATGGCTACAGCAAAGGGTGTTGCCCTGACAGCATTTGTCCCATGTTAAACTTCAAGTAATTATTGTGAAATATGGTATTTTCAGAGCAAAATGTGTTATAAGTTCTCTGCTACTGTGTTCTGTAGTGACAGCAACATTTAGGCTGAAATGTTCAAAAACAGGGAGCTTGGAATTGTACCCACTGTAAATATGTTATTGGTCCAAGAAAGTGAAGAAGCTGAGGAAACTCAAAGCTGAAAACTATGTGAACAGACTGTCAGCAGCTTTGTAACAGATGCTGTTACTAGTGCAGCTACAGTATCATCAGAAGAAACATGATTGTCTAAATGGTTCTGCATTTTAAGAAGTTGATGGCCTTTTCTAATATCTGAGGTCCAGAGTTAAAGTCATTGTTCATTCTTAACATGACCAGATTTATTTGTGCTTTTAACATCAAAATGGATAAATAGTAATTGCACTATAGTTGAATGAAATGCTGCAGTCATTTGTCTTAGTCACTCTGGTGGGTCCCACAGCAATATCATTAAAAGTGAACAGAGCGTTCTTGCACCTGTGACCTGCTTTCATGAGAGTGATGTTAGGATGTCTTTTCCATTTTTCTTATTAGCAATGCATGCAGGCTTTTAGGAAACAAAAGCCAGCATGGTGAGGAAGTATGTGCTGTTAAGACCTCAATGTCCTCAGGTTCTGTGTGTGACATAAAGGCTACAGTGAGAGCTGTGCAGCAAGTGCCAATGTACTGGAAGTTGTTGAATCTGGCCTTCTGATGTAGGCTACTCTGGAGCCAAGAAGATAGAAAATGCAAGACAATGTTAACAGTCAGAGGGAGGAGGCTTGGGATAAAGAAAACCACGAGTTCTGGAAATTAATTTTTGGCTTTCAGTTGCCAAAAGGTAGTAGGAGAAATTCTGACATTTTCAAGATTCAGATAGGTTTCTTGAGCTGTAAGTGCATGTGTGTGTGTGCATAAATACAAATTTATTTCCATGTGTGCTTTTAAAATGCCTTTATTCTGTACCTTATTCATCAATGGAATGGGAAAACTCCATCTAAGGAAGTGTGTGTGGGAGTGCAAGTGATTGCTCCAAAGACAGAAGAACAGTTGCCCAAATGTGAGTGCCAGGAAGCTGGGCAGAGTGGATGGAGCTGGCAGAAGATGTGTTCACCAAAGCAGTCCTCATCTGAGGCATTAGTAACTGGCAGAGAAGGATGGAACAACTCCTCCCAGACACCACCTCCTCCTCAGAGCCTCCTTTGGCTCAATAACTGTACAAGCACATTCTCTCCTCAGCTCTCTGTGGAACAGATTTTTTTCTGAAGAGCTGTGAAAACTTCAGAGCATACATATCACTACTTGCACTCACAGTGTGCTTGTGCATCTGAGCTAATTGGGGTGGTGATGACCTCCGAGTCAAAGTTAGGTATTTCTTCTCATGGAATGATGAAATAATTGAATGTGGCCAGGTTTCAGCAGTTTACTATATGACCCTAACAGTTAAGTCACTACTGCTGTTCATCTTTTACTCAGGTTGAAGCAAATGTACTTTACCTCACAGTTGGAGTAAGGTAAGAGTGCAAACAAGGACAGAGCAGACCAACTGGCTGCTCGAAACTGCTTCACTCTCAGGAGCCTGGTAGTCAGTACAAGCACACCTCTTTCACAATACCTGGGCTGGTGTCATTTCTGCTGTCTCTCCCTTCTTTCTGCCAGGCCATGCACTTACTATGGGGAGGACATTTCTGGTGCTGTCTGTATTTCTGAGTGTGTTTAATGGGGTCAGCATAGAATTACATGGAAAATTGTTCAGCTGCTTGATCACTCACTGAATAAGCCTTGCACATTTTTTAATCTGTATGGGTGCTATATTGCATTGAGAGGCTTGGGATTTGCCTGAGCTGTTCGAGGGGATCATGTGGGAAGAACAATATAAAGCTTATTGAGAAGTGCAGTGTAGTCCATCTGCAGAATTGTTGCATTTTCTTTCTGATGTGGTCATGTTCTTCTGTGGATCTTATCTAGAGTATCAGTTGTGCAGGGATTTAGTGCTGCTGCCCCTCCCTGAGACTGCTGGATGTTTTGAGCTCTCTGAAGGGAAGGTAGATCAGCAGTAGTTACACAACAGAGGAATGTTTTGAAGCTTCTTGTGAAACCTTAGAGATGGCAGTATTGATAATAGAAGAACTGATATCAATCCAGTGAATTGGTTGTGAATTAGTTTTGTAACCTTGTGAATTTTTGGGGGGGCTGGAGGGAGGGTGAATCCTGCTGCAATCTGTGATAACTGCACTAAGAAATGTTCACTGAAAAAAAAAAAATTAGACTGAAAAGTAGGAGCAAATCCAGACTAGTGATGTTGCACTCTATGTTTTTGTTTTAGGTTTTCCTGAAAAGGTGACAGTAAAGCAACGCTATCGTCTGCTGGGAAACAGCCTCAATGTACATGTGGTGGCAAAATTGATCTCCATTCTACTTGAATAATTTAGAACCTGAAACTGATGCATATGGACTGGTGACAGAAAATACTTCCATCTTTTAGGAGAAAGCTGATGGAACCTGGACAAATACCAGAGCTTGCCAAGATACTTGTCCAGACATTTTGCTGAACGGTTTTGATATATTTCTAATAACTTGCATTTAGGATGGATTTAAACTGTATAGGTGTTTTATTTAAAGGGCAGTTTACAGGACTTACTTGCTTTATTTGAATATTCTTTTTAGTTTGCAGAATTAAAAATAGTACACATGCTAATACTTCAATGAGAAAGGACAAGAATATTTTATTTTACTTTATTTTATTTTATTTTTTATCATAAAACCATTTTGAGTACTGTGTGAAACTGTGTCAAAGCTGTTTCAATCAGGTGCAGAGATCAAGTTCTATGTGTAAAATGTCTTCATCTTTAAATGTAAGTAATCCATTCTGAAAAGATTTGCTGTATATATGATCTGAAATTTTGATGTGATTTTTTTAGGTCATGAAACTAATAAATTCAGTATTTTATATACAATTTTTAAGATGTAATGTTGTTCTTTATGGCTTTCTCACCTTGTTTAAATACTTGTACGATTCTGGAACCCAGCTGTGTTTGTCTGGAATGAGTTGTTTAGTTGCAGCTGAATGAAAATATTTCAAGATTATCACTTGAAATATATTCTAAATATATTCTAAAAATATTCTAAAAATATTATAATATTCTTCTCATATTATTCAGGATAAGATCATTGCTCCTTACCAAAGACCTACATGTAAAAAACATTTAAAAAAAATTAAAGTACCATGTTTAGGTTGCTATGACATAAGAACTGGAGAAAAACCGCATGGGCTTCTTCAGAAAATTTCTTCAGAAATCTCGGTGGCAGTACTGGGGTTTGGAGTGTATGTTGAGGTGAAGCCATTGCATATGACCATCCCAAGTGCCACCTCTGCACAGTGCCTCATAGAGCTGGACTCTGGGTTTGTAATCAAGTCTTGTGAGTTTAGTACCTCTGAAATTGTAGAGAAAATGATGGGAAAACTGAAAGCCTTATGAAAAGTATGTGCTCTAGTTGTTATCTTTCCTTGGGATTTTCCCATTGCTATCTAGATTAAAAACAGCTTGAATGAAGAGGAGGCAAGACGATAGTTAGCAGGCATCCTTAGGGAGATTATGTGCCAGAAGACAGAAGGATTTTGATCATAGTTGCTGTGCACCTAAGTAATGAGCTAAAGTTGCCAGCCCTGAAAATGAATGAGTTTCCTTCCCCTCTTCCCCCACCCATGGGATGACACAGGAATAGTCTTGGCATGTTCCATCTGGGCTTGGTAGTGCAGGAGAAAGTGAAGACCAATTTAAAAATACATTGTTTTCTGTAGATAAATTCATGCAGCTTTATCTTGTGCTGAGTCTTGCATTTCTTCTTCAGTCTTGATTTGCATGATGCTTGTGGACTGTTAAACCATGAAAAGCTTGGGTTGATTTAATTCAGCCAGTCTGATTCTCCAGGAGAATATTGACCACTTGGGCTGTTCCAGCTCTAAAAGAGAAATAGAAATGGTTTCTCCTGAAAGTGCTCTGGAAAAAACCCTAGAGAAGGTGAGGTTGGCCTTTGTCCTCACCTGGTCACTTGAACTACTGAAATGGCAAAAAAGCACTGCTGTGCTGGCTACTAAACTGCAAAGAGCAGGTGTGGTTTTGACAGTGAACCATGGTGACCTGTACCCACAATAGTTAGCATGTAGATTTATCAGCCAGATCAATAACTATGTATGTATCTGTATGGTCTTGTTCTTGGGAGAAATCTGGTAGTATGAAGATCTATTGCTGACTAATGTGTTCCAAACACTGGTATGAAAACAAAGGATATCAATTTGAAATATAAATTGGAATTTCCTTCTGCTAATTCATGTAAATAGTTTATTCATTCTGCTTCACTGTATTAATACTTTGAAAAATATTACTATTGACAATTAATCTTCGATTCCTTTATGTAGAACATAAATTAATGCTTTATATGCCACTTGTAAGTTAACAGTGTTGAAGTGTAAGTTGAAATGTACCTAGCTGCACCTAAAACTGATACAGTGATACAGAGCTTGTTACATGTGGATAGTGAAATTTAATTCAATGTGATTGTGAAGACTGAATCTGTTTGCTAATTTGAGCTCTTTCTGAAGGAAAAAAATGGAAATAATTCAGAGTTGTAAATACATATTTGTGTATTTTCCCCCTGCTAACCCTGTAAAACTTGTGCAGCTAAATTGAGTGAGTGCTGCTTATCCTCTTGGTTTGTTATTAATAGCCTGGTTTACTGAGTTCTGTTGGGTTGTACCTGCTTGACCTCACTTGATGATCATGTTGCTTCCTTTTCCAAGCAGTCTCCTAATCCTAAGTGCTTTGCAGTGTACATCATTGCTGTACTTTGCAACTTCAGCTTAAGCATTTTCACAGCAATGAAATGTGATAACAAAAGCAGCTGAAAGGTGAAGAAGTAGAATCTGGAAAACAGCTTTGGAAAGGGAGGGATATTCCCAGAATCTGATTTTTTATTTTGTACCTCATTCATTTGCACATCTTAATTACATTTCATTATCTGACTGAGGTTATGTGGTTGTGTTCCCTTAAATTTGAGAATTTCCAGTGAAAAAAAAGGCTGTCATATTTGGTGGTGTTATATTCATGTAGTCATTTTTGAAGCTTGCAGATTGACTTACAAAATCTTCCCTATACCAGCTAGCTTTTATCTAAGTTAGTCTGGGGTTTCCCTATACTCATGAAGAAACCTGTCTAGTGGCAAAATTACTAAAATACCATTTTTAAATGCAGTGAGTTTGAGTAGTTTTTGATGCTTGCAGTAGAGGTGCATCCTTCCACGCAGTGAATGTAAGTCTCCTGCCCAGAGCCCTTTTTATCACACCTTTGACTGATAGGAGACTTATAAGGATTTGCAGGAATCTCTGTATTACAGTCTGGGAGAACATTGATGATGGCTATTTCTTAAATTTAAACAGGGGGAAGCCACTTATAAGGATTTGCAGGAATCTCTGTATTACAGTCTGGGAGAACACTGATTGATGATGGCTATTTCTTAAATCTAAACAGGGGAAAGCCCGTTTTGGTTTTGACAGAGACATTTCAATAGAGACCTGAACAGGCCCCAGGCTTCAATGACTATACAATTTATTTTAGCAGTTGTCACATTTCTAAAATCAGTGGAAAATTTAGAAAATATTTGTTGCATCTCAAGGATGAATTATTCAATTCTCAGCTCCTCCTTTGGCTCCTCTTATTACTGTTCATACAAAAGTTTAACACTTGAATTCTTGTATAAGTACTGAATTATTTTTATTTTCCTTAGCAGTTTAATATATTTTGCCTCCTATGTGTTTACAACACTTAAGTGTTGTATTTTTTCTGCAAGTTATTTAAAGAATATGACATATTAGTAAGGATTTAGAGGAGATTAGGTAATAATTGCTTATTACCTAATAAGCAATTATTAGGTAATTAGAGCACTAGCATTTCTGAACAGTCTTATATAAATATTTTATAAAATTGAACTGATAAAAGAAATACCCAAGGAAAAATAATGTGAAACCATGATAAAGTAGACGTAGAGCCCAAAATTAATTCCAGTAGCTATTTTCTCTTTGCCTGTGCAAATATGAGTATTGTAGTGTTGCAACCTCATTTCAGGAAGTTTATGAAATACTGAGTAGTGATAGTATGTCAATTTAAATGTTACTGTGAAGAGCAGGACAAGATTTGTGTTACTTTTGTCTTTAGTAGATTGTAAGCTTTGGGGAATTTATATAGCCATTAAAGAAAAGAAGTAGTGGCCCAAGAGGGTCAGGCAGCTCCCTGTGAAGGCAAGACAACTGGATTGTTCTCTTTGACTTTACTTCACCTGGTCCTGTTGACAGTGGGAGGAAGCTGGATGAGGAACCCTCTCAGGTAAGAGCTCTGGTGAAACAAGAAGCAGAGTTGCAAGGGTTTAAATCAACTGGAACCCAACACTTTTAGTGAGAGAGTTGTTGGATGTCAGATGGTCACTCTGGTTGGATGCCCTTCACTAGGATTTGGGAAATTGCAGCAAAAAAGTTCCTGAAATCTCCTCCAGGGAGGAATGTCTCTGATTTTTGATGCAGGAATACATCCCGAAATCCCAGCTTCAGTGAGAGCATGTTTGTCTTGTGCTTTTGTCCATGCACTGGGCTGCTGTAATTCAAATATTTTTAAATTGCCACCTGGCACTTGGAAGCAAAGAATGTTGATGGTACTGATACATTTTCTCATATGTAGATAGCAATAAATAGTTTTGATTAGTTCAAATGTTTGACCTTACATATTTTAAAAAATAAACAAATCTCATTCTGATTATAAATAATACACTTAAAATAGGATTCTTCTCAGAATTAATATTTTATAGGCATTTTTACTGTGTATTGATCACAACATATGGCATTACTCATTTTTTGCACATGTATTATAAGGTGAAGCTTATGGAGAAGGAGAAGATTGGACAAGTTAATGATGGAAAAATCCTCTGAGAGTACTGAGTAAGTAGATTTCTGACTGAAGTTCCTGAGCTGCAAATAACTGGAGGCCAAGAGAGTACCTAGGGGAGGTACTGTATATGCTCACCCCTTTATTTCCTGTCTGCCTTTGGCCACTGTTGGAGGGTGACCTGGATGATCCATTGGCCTGGAGAGATCTTTTCTAGCCCAGGATGATGACTCTTACTGCTTATTTTGTATGGTGACAGAATGCCAGTACTTGTAACCACAGCCTCAAGGCACAGCAAAGGCTTTACAGACAGCTCAGACTGAGCTTCTTGGTGAGAGCCAGCAATACAGAACAGAATGAATCTGAGGGAGGTTGTGCAGACAGGTCCATCCATGGCTTTAGGGTTATTAGTGAAGAAGGGTGGATATGCAAATGGAAGTCCCTAAAAATAGCTCCAGTGTATGTTAAAAGGACTGGAATAATCAATAGAAAACAATAAAGCCAATGCAAGCAACTGGAAGCTTTTCAATAACTTAATTGCAAAAAAGAATGAAATGTAGAATAGGAAGTATCAAAGTGGTTTACAGAAACAACCATGTCTAGGAAGAAAAACCAGAAAGACAGAAGAACTAAAATAAAAGCCTCATAAGGGAAGTAAAAATCTAATGTGTTAAATCTTACTTGCAATAAAGGAATCCAGGGAGAATTTGGACAGTAGATCAATTTCAGCTTAAGCAGTTGACTAAATCAAGACTCTCTGTCATTTGCTATTAAAAACTGAAAACCTCAATTTCCAGGCCAGGTAGTTTAACTTAATTAGCAGGTAAATTATGAGCTTCATCAGCTGTGTTGAGGAAGCAGAATCTTAAATAGGTGACAGAGGGCAGAATGCTGAACAGAAAAGGAAATCCTTAAGGAGGGGTATGAGAAATGGAGGCTTGCAGCAGCTGCAGCCCCTGGGGAAGGTGCTGTGGCCATAAAACTCTCAAGGCACTCAAGAAGAGAGGGAAAGACTGATAATAGGT